AAGTCCATGCTAAACATAGTAGAAGGTCGGATGACACATTCAGATGCAAGTACTTTATGGTGAAGCAAAGGTTTGCACACTAAACACATGGGTACTGTGCGCTTATCAACAAAGTGATAATTGTTTAAGGTCGGATGACACATTTAGATGCAAGTATCTTGTGGTGAAGCTAAGGTTTGCGCACTAAACGCATGGACACGATGCACTTAGAAACAAAATGATAGTTGTTAATTTATGTTATTTAGCTACCTCCACGTTAGTATGTTTGTAAAACATAAATTACTAGTTTGTTTTTCCTCTAACAACTACTTAAAGTTTTGCTTTTATTCTAATTGAATAAAAATCACTTTTGACTACAGAGAAATTTTTCTTTTCTTAAAGTTTAATTTTTCAATACCTGGTATCAAAGCTCCTTACTAGGGCATTAATTGTGTGAAAAGAATAAAATAAAGAAAAAGTGTTAGATGACTACTAAATGTAGCATTGTTCAATCAGCAATTCCAAAATGTTATGGCTATTATGACCATAATAATAAAATTCATATTAAATCTATGTCTTGGTTCTGACTCTGAATATACATAGAGAAGCATGAAAACCATCAGAAGCAGAAGAACTGAATTTGAAGAAGTAATCTTCCAAAGAGGTCAGCATTCAAACATCAGAGTGTCAAGGAATCTGCCTCTAAAACAAACCAGACTTTGAAGAAGTCTGCTTCTGATCAGAACTAAGTTAGTCAAAGAGCAAGAACCAAGATAACATTAATAAATCATTGTTCATCTTTGAACATACTTTATCACGTGATAACCTAAAGCTCTAGTTTCTTCATAGAGTCTGTTTGGATACAACTGCTTATTCTTTTTGTAGCAAAGGTATTTCAAACCATGATTCACCTAACCTTAAAGTTTGGTTAAACATCCCAACGTCTCCTAACATTTATTTTGAAGCTTTTCAATGGACTCTATTGTTGCATATTGAATGAATCTTTTCCACATAGGAACTAAAAGACTTGAAGTTCAATACACACAATGCATGGAATACACACATACATGCTGAACAACGATTGAAAATCAAAGAGAAGCTCCTTTTCCAAAGTTTTAACACAAGCTAAACTTAAGATTTCTTATCCTTGTATGTCTTAGAAATCCTTAAGTCTTAAAAGAGTCATACTATGTTTTATTATTTATACACCTCTAATTGTAAATCAAGTGTATCTTTCTCAAATAATCATTTATCTGTTAGGTAGATTGGTAGAAGTCGCTTGCTAAGTACTTGAGAAAGGAAGTCTTAAACTTATGTGTTTAAGAAAGGAAGTGTTAAGCTTGTGTACTTGAGCAAGGAAGTCTCATACTCATGTGTGAGAGCAAGGAAATATCGAGCTTGTATGCTTGAGAAAAGAAGTATCATACTTCTGTGTATGAGTAAGGAAGTCTTGAACTTGTGGGCTTGAGAAAGGAAATATATTACTTGTGTGTTAGAGCAAAATAAGTCTCTTGCTTGTGTGCTTGAGAAAATTGTATTCTTACGTGATTATAGTGAAAATCTCTTATAAGTACAAGGGGACTGGATTACTCTCGATTTGTGGGAGGAACCAGGTTAAATCTTTGTGTTGTTATTCTTTCTTGCTTGTTATATATGCTGCATATCTCTAACTAAATCAGATTCTATAACATTGTGTTTAGAATTTGACTCAAGAGTTTTAAAAGAAAAAAAACCCAACATAATTCAATCTACTTCTTGTGTTTTTCTTACCTTCAGTTGGCATCAGAGCATAATCTGTTCTTAACACTTAACAGTGGTACATAAAATTTCTTGAGAAAAACATATTGAAACATGTCTGGTGTTTCTGGAGTAGAAAGTGATACTTCTACTTCACATACTGCTATAAACCATGATTATAGAAACCCAAAATAGAACAAATATACAACTATACTCCAACTGTCTGTGGAGATTCTACTAAATTTGAATGGTGGACAAGCAAAATGTATACTCATATCATAGAGTTTGGTGATGAGTTGTGGGATATTTTGGAAGATGACATTGATATTCTAGTTAATGGAGTTGGAATGATGTTTGATAGAAACGCTCTCACACCAACTCAGAGAAAGATCTATAGAAAACATCATAGAGTTAAAGGTGTTGGAACAAAATTATTTAATATCATATCCCTTGAGTTTTGATTATAAAAAATTATTTGAAGAACAATTGGGTATGCTAACATCTATTTAAGTGTGCAGGATTATATCATTAAGAACAAATGAAGAAATTTTTAAGAAATCTGAATCTGAAGATCAGACTCTGGCTCTAAAGAGCACTTTTGAAGACCCTGTCTCTAATGGAGATCCAGACTCTAATGTTGTTATTTGTGAGAATTTCAAAAGATCTGTGAACTTAGAATTTGACATGACAAACTTAGGAGATATGAAATATTTTATAGGTGTTTAAATACAACAAATATTTGAAGTTATTCATATGTGTCAAATAAAGTATGCTTAAGAGTTTCTTCATGGGTTTGAAATGGAAACACAAATGATGTGAAGAATCTTACTGTTCCATGTATAAAGCTAATCAAAGAAAATGAGGGTGCAAATGCAAATGCAACATTGTTTAACAAATGGTTGGAAGTTTTATGTATTTGACTACGACTTGACCCGATATGATATATATTGTATGTCTCGTAATCATATACATGGCTAAGCCCAAGAAAACACACATGTAAGTTGCAAAAGGGGTGTTGGAGTATTTAAAAGGAACCATGAAGATATGAGTCTTCTACAAGAAAAGAGTTAGCAATAAACTATTAGTCTACATTGATAGTGACTGCATGTGTGATATAGATGATATAAAGAATACACATGGCCGCAAGTATTTATTTATATTTCCTATATAAAATATAAAAAAACAAATAAATAAAATATAAGAAAAATGGGTTGGAAAAAGTATTTGAATAAAGATATGAAATGAAGAAACGATTAAAGGCGGGTGAAACTCGAAGATGACAATGAATCAGAAAATGCATAATCATATAGAACGAGAAAATCGGAAAATTAAATATCACATGAGTTTAGAGAAGAAGAAAAACGATTAAAGGCAGGTGAAACTCAAAGATGACAGTAAATCAGAAAATGCATAGTTCACATAGAATGAGAAAATGGAAAAATCAAATATCACATGAGCTTAGGGAAGGAAGAAAAGGGTTTGTGAGAAGAGAAAGGTGTGCCTCTACTTGTAAGAAAGAGCCAAAATCATTTGAAAAACCAAAATAATTTTTATATCTCAAACAAAAGTGGAAAGATGAAAAATAATGGTCAAATCTTGCCTCAAAAATCAACGACACTTGAATGCACTCGAGCATCTAGGGGGAAGCATCACACCTTAGTCTACGAACATAAGGCCACATGTAAGGAAATCCTGTGAAACGTCTCAGTGACGAAACTAGCGTTTAATTCACCTGATCTTTATATCTCTTCCACTTCTCCGCGTAAAGAATTGTCATAGAGAACCCAACCCATTTTCTTGAAATTCTTCGCGTATACCATACCATGACAAGCCTTAGGGGCAATTGTTTTGAACCGGTCACATGACCAATACGATATAAGCCCAATTACCATCCATAATATATAGATTACCGCATGTGCAGTCGAAGGTACGATTTTAACCATAATTCACTCTACCACCTTTTTTGTTCACTCACAAACTTGAGTATTGAACTGCTAACCTTACAAATCCATCCCCACACAACCGCACCAAAGATCTACACCACCACATCAATAATTCACCTCAATAATTAACCAACGATTTTAGTTCACTAACGCAACAATAGTCGTTAAATTTAGTTGTGTGATTAAGAATAAAATTTAATTTAAACAGTCATGTAATTATGTGTCAGTTCATTTTTTAGATTAAAAATAAACCAAAATTGTCTTGATTTTACATATAAATTATTTTATAAAGGTTGATTTTTAAAAATAAACAAAAATTTAGCTTTTGTTTCATTTAGCGGCAACAGAAAATAATTTTAGATAAATTGATGTTGAAGTATGGCTCAAAACCTTAAATGATGAAGATAAAAATAACATATTTTAAGATTGCAGAAACCAAAAAGTTGTTAATGTAGTCAGGAGGTCGTTAAATAGCGTTAGGACTGCAAGAAGGCATTCGTCAGAAGTTAGAAGTCGATTGGTAACGGTGACATTGAAGGTTGGCATGCAATGGGGTTTTGGCCGTCTGCCCTATTTTCTCAATTCGTGTGTTAATGGATTGTCTTTTAGACTTCTTATCGATCGGTTGGGTTCCAACAATTATAAATATGTATTTATGTCATTCTTGTTATCACAATCTTCAGAATTTTAAAGTTGAAGATGGAGAGAAGAGTTTCATGATCTTAGTGGTAATCTTAGAGACACAAGAATAACACATTTGTAATTTTTTGTAATTTTTACAAGTATAGTGTATATGTACTTTTTTCTAGAATAGATTGTTTGATCGAAAACAATTTATTGTGTTTATTGTATTTATTTTATCTTTTTCTACCAAATTAAATTGTCATTGTTCTTTATTTTAACATACTAAATTTTTTGATGTCATTAACCTTTGAATTTCACATCAATTAATTTTATATTAATTTAATTAAAAATGAATTGGAGTTATGATGATTTATCTTTAGATTCTTTAATGTAAAAATGAGTTATATTTCAATATTAAAATGATATTTAAATACAAAAATTAGAAATTTTAACTTTTAAATAGAATCAACTATATATCAAAATCAATTCTCCATTTTTAAAATCATTAGTTGCTCAACCTTAATAAAATAAAAATAACCGCAACATTATTATTGCGTGGGTGCGTGCGTACGGTTACTGAGATAGAGAACACATTTAAACGCAGTAAAAAAAAAAAATTCATATTTAAACCTAATAAAAAAGAAGAAAAAAAAAATCGCATAAACTATCACTACTCAGCAGTCAGTTACTTTTTCCAAGTCGCGTTTTTGTGTGATAATGGCGCCCGATGCCGCCGCCGCCGCCGCTGGTGGAAAGAAAAGAAAACGCTATCTTCCTCACAACGTCTCTGCTCGGTTATCTCTTTCCTCATATTTTAACCTATCGCACTTTCTCTCGTTCTTTTTCTTATACTCTTACGTTAATTTTTTGCAGAAAGCAGTGAAGAAGGGTTCGTATCCATTGCATCCTGGTGTGCAAGGGTTTTTCATCACTTGTGATGGAGGAAGAGAACATCAAGCCTCACGCGAAGCTCTCAATATTCTCGATTCAGTATTGCACTCGCTTTATAATTATCAACTCTGAATTCAATTTTTATTTTTATTGTCTCTTTTAGGTTTTCAATTGCTAATTTTCAAATTTCTCTTATTACTTTATAAGCATTTTTTTATGTGATGTCAAACTCTGAATTCAATTTTAATAATATGTAATTCTTTCTGATGTCAATTTATCAATTTATACAAGTGAAGTTTAATGTGTATTGCTTTTTTTTGGTTCCTTTGTTGTTTCTATTATGGCATAGGTATATGTTATTAGGGTAACCTTCAGTTTTTAGTGAGATGATTTTTGTCCTCTGCAAATTGATATCACGCCATTGTTTCGATTTTTCTTGCAGTTTTATGAAGATCTAGTTGACGATGGGGAACATCCAACTGTGAAAGGGCTGTCCAATAGACCTGTAAATACAAAAATTACGTTTGCAGATTCCGACTCTTCTAGTAGTGATAGTGAAGAGGAAGAGGATGAGAAGGAGGTGCAGGTGCAGGAGGGTGAGGAAAAGGAGGACAAAAAGCCTAAACTGGATGTGTGCAATGCCGACAATACTGACCATGAGAATGGAACGGGTGAAAAATCAGATCCTCATAAAATTGATGATCTTCATGCTCAGGCTGAGGCTAAAGCTGATGGCGATAAAGAAGATGTTGACAGTCCTAAGACCATAGAAAAGACAGCCGATGAGCTACCAGCTGTGAAACAGTGCTGCAAAACAAATGTGCCAAAAAGTGATTTGGGGGAAAAGAAAATGGAAGAGAAATCCATTGACAAGTTAATTGAAGATGAACTCGTAGAACTGAGAGACAAGAATAAGGTGCTTTGATGAGACTACCATTCTGTATATTATTCTATTCTGTTTCTATTCAAAGTTTCTTTAACTCACAGATCTTATGATTTTTTTTTCTTATATTTTCTGGCCTTGCTCAAACTTTGACGTGGCTATATAATATTAATATGCTGAGAGTTTTAGTCATGCTAGATGTTAATTCTCTTTATTCCTTGTTTTCTTTCGTTTCAATGGCAATGTTGTATATATTGCTTTTCAAGGCAGTCTCCCTGTTTTTTGAGTTTTTTTTTTCACTTGTCCTTGTTTATGACTCATGAGATGGAAAATATAGTATGATACTGGCAGGATCGGATTTTATTTTTTGTCATTTTTCCTCAAAAGACTTTGATTTTTGGGCCAAGAGTATTTTTTGTTTTGCAGAGAGACAATAATACACTTAATTCTTCAGTTTCCTATGCATTGGGGTATGACTTTGGGGCACCTAAGGCTGATGCCTGCCTAAGGATTTGTTTCACATTTCCTTTATATTTGTGAATATATGTGTGTTTTGCTAAGAGTCTGTCTTTTTTTCTTCATTGTTTTACACAGAAGCGCTTTGCCAAGCTTGAATCAGGTTGTAATGGTGTGGTATTTATTCAAATGAGGAAGAAAGATGGAGACAAAAGCCCCAAGGATATCGTTACTCGGATAGTGACATCAGCAGCATTGACTAAGAAACATATGTCGAGGTAAGCTTTTAGTTTATATTCTAAGAAGAAACATGTACAGAAGAAACATTGATACAGTGCTGGCTACTTCTAGGTTTATCTTGAGAATTTTGCCAATTGAAGTCTCATGTTATGCTTCAAAGGAGGAAATTTCAAAAGCAATCCAGCCTCTTGTGGAACAGAACTTTCCTGCAGAAACTGAAAATCCACACAAGGTAATAATAATACTGTAAATCAGTTTAGTTATTTTTTCTCCCAATCCACCAACTTCTACACACAATAGTTCATGCTTAATACACCTAAACAATGAAAGTATATTCAAATTCAAAATTTGTGCATTTAATAATCTAAACAACTTTAGGATCGTGAATGAGCTATCATCACAATCAGAATTGAAGTTGTAACTCTAAAAAGTAAAACCCACATTCAAATTCTTATATCCACACATTGTCTAGTTTTTTACTAACATGGATATGTTTGCAGCAGTGGGCTGCATTAGAAGAGGAACCTAATTGCCAATATTTTTGGGAAACTTAGTTCTTAATGTAGATTTGCTCATTTATAATCTTGTGTGTCATTCTCACACAATAAACAAATCTTGTGAATAAAGTTCACGCCTGCGTCTTTCTATGACTTGATCCTTTTGTCTGTAGCTTGATCTTAACCAGTATTTTATTTTTGCGCGTGCAGTTTGCTGTGCTGTATGAAGCCCGGGCAAATACTGGTGTTGACAGGATGGAAATAATCAATGCTGTGGCAAAGTCTATTCCTGCACCTCATAAAGTTGATCTCACTAATCCTGATAAAACCATAATAGTGGAAATTGCCAGGGTAAGAAAGACTGAATTTCAATTAAACTAGGTTGGGTGCACATATGTTATATACATGAATGAGTTTCAATCTGTGGTTGGCATTGCATATGGATTGTATGAGTTTGTCAAAGAATTAATGCGCCCGTGTTTGTTTTGCAGACTGTATGCCTGATTGGGGTCATAGAGAAGTACAAGGAACTCTCCAAGTACAATATTAGGCAATTAACATCACGATAAGTATGAGTCTTCCAGACAGTCTGTATGCTTGTGGTTGTGGCAAATTTAATACCTTTACGTATTTATACTTGCAGCAAGTCGTAGATTTAGCAAGTCCTTTAAATGTAATTTAGTTCTCACAAACCAAAGACAATATTTTGCTTGAGTTCCGGTAGAATATTCGTTTCATATCTTTTAGAATATCTATTGTATTCATTCTTCGATGCGATTTTCTTAACGTAATGACTTTTGAAACACGTTTATAAACATAATGTTATATTGATCCTCATCGGGGCCAGCCATTGCTCTCATCCCCGTATGTGGATTCCTTTGCCTGCGAGTCTCAGACACAAGCTTGGAACTAGTTTATGTGAAATACTAAAATTATTTGTGTATTAACCCTCGAAATAAGTCTTGCCTTTGAAACGTTGCAAGTTGATAGGGGTTGGGGGGAATTACGTTTCAATTCCCTCCATTTCAATTCCTTTCATCTTCCATTTCCGGAGATGACTATCACTTTGAATGATGTCGCCTCCTTGTTTCATCTCTCATTCGCCGATAGATTCTTTACCGCTCCTGTTATTAACGAGGAGCTTACTTGTATCGTGGCTACTCAGGATTTGGGAGTTATTGATGTTTATATTTATGGTCGGTACATGGGAGTTACTGATGTTTATATTTATGGTCGGTACATGTGGTTGCTCAATAGTCCGATACCAGTTGGGCGAGGGGGTGTGCTTCGTTGAAGTACGTTTTTGTCTTTATCAAAAATTGAGGAAGAGACATTTTGAGATATTTTCTCAACATATGATCCTTTTTTATATAACTTTGAATTCATTTTGGACTATACATAATGGTGGGTGCAATCACAACCGTACAAAATTGTTTGCAAAATTTTAACCCTAAGAAAACTTATAAAATTGAACTATCGGAAATTTCACATTGATTGAAATTTAGGATACCTCAAGATATTTTTTGAAAATATCAGTAAAATTTTACCTGTCAAAAATATTTGAAAATTTTTATATTAATTCACACCGGAGATTTTGGATTAATGTTATACGCACAGTTGAATTTAATTTTAAACACGGGCACTTTCGAAGTTTCTTATCAACCACTGGTTACTAGAATTTTCAATGTCCTTAATGTCTTTTTGTTCTTTTTTACTTTCATATTTTCGCTGGCATTGCAGGTTGGAAAGTGGTTGATCTAATGCTTCATGTTATAATGTTCATTAGGTGTTTGATTAAACGTTTCAATCGAACCTTGTGCAAAAGACGTTGTCAAGAAATGTTTACAAGTTACATTGATAGAGGACTTTCATAATTATCATGAATTTGATCTGCTGTTTGAGGGACTGATGGTGTAAGTTTTATCTTGTTATTATTTATCAATGGTTTAAATAGTGTTTTCGTCCTGGTAAGTTAGTGATTTTTTGGTTTTCGTCTTAAATTTTTTTTTTGTTTGAGTTCCCATATATTCATTTCTCTTTGGTGTTAGTCCATGCTGTCAATAGAACGTTAAATAAAAAAGCTGAGATGACAGACGATGATGACTTGGCTTATTCCTTATCAGTCTTATTTATATTTTCTTTGTACACGTGGATATAATGTTTTCTCCGAAAAAATAAGTCATCCAAAGGATATTTCCCTCTTTTATGTTTAGTCCCTGTAAATTAGGGTTTCATATTTAGAAAGGAATTCAGCTCAGGGAAGGTGAAGCAACGGGTGCGAGAGCTTGTCTGGGCAAGACAACGGAGTATGACGAAGCTACAATCCTGATTGAGCGGCCTAATCGAATCTACCGGGTATGACATTTACGGTGAACATTCATTACGGGGAAAAGTTTGTTAAGGATAATGTCGTATACTACTTAGGTGGGGGATAATGTTGAAGTAGACATTGAGTCTGATAGGTGGAGTTTCTTTGAAGCAACTGGTATTATGAAAGAACTTTGCAACCTTGAGTCTACTGATTATTTGTTATATTGGTATAACAGTATATCGGGTAAGCATGCAAGGATAGTTAGTGATATTGATATTGCTGTTGTTTATGAAAAAGCTGTTGAAACTAGTTGTAGTGTGGATTTATTTGTTGAGCATAAAGTAGTTGTAGTTGATAATGTTGTACATGATGCTGATAATGTTAAGGATAATGTTGATAATCTTGATAATGTTGAAGGCGGTAATTTTATTGAGGATGATGTTAGTGATAATGTTGGATATGGTATTGCTGATAATGTTGATGATATTGGAGCTGATAATGTTATTGAGGATGCTGTTCATGATAATGCTGGAAATGTTAATGGTGATGCTGACAATCTAAATGTTGATGATAATGTTGATGGTGTTGAAGGAGATGATAGTGACGATAGTGGTTATAATGGTTTATCATTTGAGGGCAGTGAGTATGAAAGGGTCGTTGGCATGGATGATGGATTTGATGTTGTAGACAAACCAACTGGAAGGGCTAAGCAGAAAGCAAGGAAACACAGGAATACTCCAATAAAGATACGAAATGTTGATGTTAACGTGGGTTCATCAAGTGGAGTTAGTGTTGGTAATGAAGGGCTTGAAACTAATTATTTAAGTGATGATCTAGGCAGTAGTGATCCAGATGCATCAGATGGAGAGAAATGACCAAAATATCCTAGGTTTAAGATGGAAGAGTTAGACAAGGACTACAAGTTTAAAGTTGGTTTGAAGTTTGTATCTCTAACTGAATTTAAGGAGGCAATAACTGAATGGTTGATGTTAAATGGAAGAGAGATAATGTATGTGAAAAATGACAAGGTTAGAGTGACATTAGTTTGCAAGGGCAATTGTGGGTTTTTGGCTCTTGTTAGTAAAGTGGGGGAATAAACACAAGTATAAAATGAAGAAATGGTTTGGTTCACACACGTGCGGTAGGGTTTTGAATAACACCACTGCTAACTCCAAGTGGATTACGAAGACTGTGGTGGCTAAGATAACTTCATCTGATGGAATCAAGCTTCGTGATATTGTGTCTGAGATTAGGAGTACTTACTCTGTAGCTATATCCATGAACAGGGCATGGAAGGCTTAGAAAATTGCAAAAGCTTTAGTTAAAGGTGATGCAACAAAGCAATATACACTATTGTGGAGGTATGCTGCAGAATTAAGGAGGGTCAATGCAGGGAACACCTGCAAAATTAATGTCTCCAGGATTGCTCTAACAATTAAACCCAGATTTGGATGCTTTTATTTTTGCTTTCATGGGGTAAAGAGATTCATTACTGCTTGCAGGTTATTCATTGGTGTTGATGAATGTCACCTAAAGATAAAATACGAAGGCACATTGCTTGTTGTTGTTGGAAGGGATCCTAACGACTAATATTACCCATTGGCCTTTGGTGTATGTGATACTGAGACAAAGGATTCATGGAGGTGGTTCTTGACCTGGCTTTTGGAATACATTGGACAAGATAAAAGATGGGTATTCATATCAGACAAACCAAAGGTACTTTTCAGATCTATATCATTTTTTGAATTCATCCCTAATCTATGTAATTGTGTTTTGATTTGGTCCTTGTATATATCAACTTGTTTTGAACCAGGTCCCTGAATATTTGAATTTGTTTTATATATTTTTGTTTGCTTGAAACGGGTACCTTATTTTATTGTTTGTTTTGATTTGTAGGGATTAATTCATGTTTTTGAAGAGATGTTTGAAAGGGTTGAACATAAACTTTGTCTTAGGCATTTATATGCCAATCTCAAAAAGAAGTTTGGTGGTGGCACACAGATAAGAGATTTAATGATGGATGCAGCAAAGGCCACGTATATACAAGCATGGGAAGCAAAGATGAAAGTGTTGAAGGTGTTTAATCCTAAGGCTTGGGAGTGGTTAATCAAAATACCTACAAAATCATGGTGTAAGCATCCTTTCTCATTCTATCCCAAATGTGATGTGCTAATGAATAATGTGTCTGAAGCTTTTAATAACACAATCCTAGTGGCTAGGGATAAACCAATCTTAACCACGTGTGAATGGATAAGAAACTAACTTATGAATAGAAATTCTAAATTAAGAGAAAAAGTGGATAGGTGGGCACATATGATAATGCTAAGACCTAGAATTAGGTTAGATAAAGAGGTAGAAGATGCTGGTAATTGGATTCCAAACTGGTCTAGTGATTCTACTTGGCAAGTGGAACGTATCCATAGCAAACATAGATTCATAGTTGACACTTCTAAAAGAACTTGTACATGTAACTTCTAGGAATTGGTAGGCATACCATGTAGACATGCAGTTGCTACCTTAGGCTTTAGGAATGAACACCCTGAAGACTATGTAAATGACTGTTATTCTAAGAAAACATATGTGGCATGTTATGATTTCAATGTTAGCCCAACTAATGGCCAAGACATGTGGCCTGAGGTTAATACTGAGGAGATGTTGCCTCCATCATACAAAAGAGGCACTGGTAGGCTAAAGAAACTAAGGAGGAGGGAACCTGATGAGGACCCTAACAAGAGAAGGACGCGGACATCTTATTATTGTACCAACTGTGGTGTACATGGCCAAAATGCAAGGAGTTGTACAGTTATGGTGCCTGACTCTGAAGCTCAGAAAAGAAAGGTATTAACTTAACTAAATTATGTATTCTTACTAACCGTTTGTAAGTGATATTGATTGAATCACTCTGTGTGCAAAAAAAAAAGCCAAAGAAAAATGCTACACAAACAACACAACCTAAAGCTTCTACTAAACAACACAACTCTGAAGCTTCTACTGAACAACAACAACCTCATCGTGAACCTCTCACTGAAGAACAGCCAGAAACACAATGTGATGTGGACCCAAAGTTTGAAATGCTTGCAGTAGATCTTTGTGCAGCTTTTGAAAGAACACAACCTCAACCCAATGTCAGTGATCTCACTTCCCAAATTCCAGCTCCAACTAATGTTACTAGTGTCCATGCTCCAACTATTGAGGTTGCATTCGTAATGGTTTCACAAGGAGTTGGTGGCTCACAATCAAACTACATTATGTTTGCACCTATTCCATAGGTTGAGCCTACACGTAATGAACATGTTCATGCACCTCCTCCTAAGGAATCTATTTCTTCCCCTCGTAAACTAGTTGAGTCATGCTACTGACTAATTGACATAATGTGTATGTTATCGGTTTAAATTGACTTAATGAACCGGCTACTGACTAATTGACATAATGTGTATGTTCTCGGTTTAATTGACATAATGTGTATGTGGCGTTGAGGAAAAGTGATGGACCAAGGTTGCTCAGACGTAAAGCGCAAAGGAGGAGAAGGAAGTAATCCTGCTAAAAGGAGAAGGAAGTAACCCTACACAAGGGGGTACCATGGAATTTGTAGTCATTGGACCTGTTTTGACTTATGTTTTATTGAACAACTCTACTACTATGGTGTATTTAAGCCTTGTAGTTTTCTATTATGTATTTTGATGCCAATGTGTATTTTGGCTTAAGACTTATTGTTTATGATACAATGTGTTTTTTGGCTTAAGCCTTTATGTGTATCATACAATGCGTTTATGATACATTATCAAGGTTGTTTAATCTAGTATATCAGGTTTGTTTTATGAGACAATTGATATAGCCTATTACCAATTTGATACATAAATTGGCTCAAGTTAATTTTATGGACAATTGATATTGCCTATTACCAATTTGATATGGCATATACCTTAATTGACTTAATTGCATACATAAACTATGTAAAATCAAAACATCTTTTTCATTCATCATAGTGTACATGGTCCAATTTCAAAATACATCAATGTTACAAGGACTAACAAATGAGATTTACCACCATTTGTGATAAGCAAAGAAGAACCCCCATGACACAACCAACAATAGTTTCAACAAAGACGTTTTCCTCTTCTCCTTCTCCAACTTAATCTTCATCTTTGTTTTTTTTGCCAATCTCAATCTCTTTAACAATGGACCCTAAATCTTTCAACATTTTCGAGCAGTTGCAACCACCTGAACTTCTAATATCACTAGCTGGATTTCGTTCAAGCTCATGTCCCAAATGAACAACTTGCAATCAGAACATTGAATTTTGACACTTCCAAAATCTTCTTTTAGGGGTTTTAACAGAATTTGACATGAACATTTTCATGCTTCTATTGCAACCACAAACTGGTGCTTGAACGTGAAGAGAGGTCGCGGACGAAGAAGAGGTCATGGATGTCGATGGAATAGAGGGAAAATTGCGAAAGATGAAGAAGAAGTTACAGATGGAATGAGGAAGAGAAGCAAACAAAAATGTACTTTTTAATTTGATCTCTCGTTAAAAACTATATCTACGTGTTTTTTAAAAAATAAAAAAATGATAAAACATAGGTCAGGTCATCACTGTCTGTCACCTTAACTTTTTTTTTTAAAAATAAAACAAATGATAAAACATAGGCCAGGTCATCACTGTCTGTCACCTTAACTTTTTTTTTAACGTTTCATTGACAGCAGAGACTAAAACTAAAGAGAAATGAACGGACTCGTACCAAAAAAAGAAGATTCAGGGATGAAAGTCAAAAACACGCTAACTTACAAGAACGAAAACTTAAGCATTTATCAATTATCCCAATTATTATATTTCTGTTGGAGATTTTTTAATGCACAAGACACCACGTGAAATTTGTAAATGACTAGATTTCTGAGATGCATTTAAGGAGTGTATTTTTTTAACTCGGAGATACATCTTCAAAATGTGTATTTCCGTAACCTTGTGAAACAAAAACAAAAGCAAAAAATTAAAAAGTTATATTTTAACAAAATAAAACTACCATTCATAGCATAAGTCATCTTTCCAAGACAATATCAATTTTTTCTTGAGAAACTCATTCCTCCACTCCACATTCGCTTGTGAACTGACTTGACATACAATCATTAACCTTGTTAAATCTAGAGAAGAATTGATAACAGAAGCGGACCTTAAAATAAAAACTTAAGTATAACATTTGATAGTAGTTGCTTATCTTTTGAACAATTGATAAGCTTCTTTAACCGAATACTTGTTAATGGAACTTTAAATGAAGCCCAGATATTAACAGCTCAAAGTTCAAAGCTCAAAGAAAATTAATATATCTTTATATAAAATTCTCAAGTGTGTTGTGATGTAAATAAATGAGTACGATAGTAAAAGGACACCAAATTCTATTGTTGAAACTGATAATCTTGTACATTATTACATTGTACCTCTCCAAAGATCCAAAAAGAATAAACTAATCTGCAACAATGTTTAGCTTTTAACTAAATGTCAACAAACGAGAGTTACAATCATTCATGTATAGAAAATTTAGAAGCCTCATTTGAAAGTCCAAAAGGAATGGATGGAACAGCTTTAAAAATTTCATCCCTTCTCTTTTTCAAACTCCAAAGCAGACCAGCCAGACAGAGAGAATATAAATCAATGAACTCTGAGATCAAAGTTAAGCAGCAGGGGACTTGTACTTCTCCACCATCTTCCTGTATTCTGTAAAATTAAAAGAAAACAAAAAACCCTTAGCAAACATTCAGAAGATATATAATATTTACAAATATTTTGCAAAATATGAACAATGTTAATTTGCAAGATATATAATATTTATAATATTTACCTTCTTGATTGCTCCAAAGCTGTGCAGCTTGTGGATTTAACGGCGAGCTAATGTTTGGCTCTATTATAAAGGATAAAAAATAATTATCAACCAGGCAAGATAATGGTTTAAAAAAATGTCTGCTTTCAAATTAATTCAGCTCTCGAAGTTACCTCCTAGCAGGCTTTGAATTGATAGAAGAATGGTTCTTACATCATAGGCAGATGACCATTTATCCTGAAAAATCCAAAGATTAATCAGTACACATATTAACATCAATATGTAACAATGGTTGTAATTAAGATAATGGATACACAACACAAGACAAAATCATATTATTCATTACCTGAAGAATATCTAAGCAAATATTGCCATGCATATCTACATTGGGGTGGAAGCAGGTGGTGTCAAATTTGACCTTTGGAGCCTTAAAAGGATACTCATTAGGAAATGAAAGGGAGAGTTTGTATTCTGTTCCCTCAAATACAGTTTCTTTGCTTCCTGTTATTGTTCCTTTCCAACACAATATATTATCCTCCTCAGGGAATGCAGATATACCAGAATCTCCACCCATCTGAAAAATCCCACATAAAACACACAGATAAATCAATCAAATTTTCCAAATGATCCAAAATTACATTGCATTTGGCCAATGAACCCCGCACACTCGAAACACGGCACCGACACTAACGTGCCGACACGGGTAATCACAAGTGTCGGTGTCGGTTTCAAACAGCGACACTGACACGCTTTGTTACAGAGGTGTCAGTAGTGCTACACAGGCACAAAAAAAACTAGCAACTAAAAGAGCCCAAGTTCTTAGAAAGTGAAAGAGAGATCCAATTTCTTACCATCAATGCCATCAATTCAGACTGCAACCTGTAAATCGCAACAACAAACAAAACAAAACAAGAAATTGAGTTAGTTAGATTAGTAAAAAACAAACAGAAAACCCTAGCAATATTATAAACTAAGATTAAATTAAAAAGAAAAGCAAAAACCCTAAAACACGAAAAGCAAAACAAGAAATTGAGTTAGTGAGATTAATAGAAACAAACAGAAAACCCTAGCAATATTTGAAACTAATATTAAATAAAAAAGAAAAGCAAATACCCTAAATTGAATTCATTCAACCAAAATCTATTCTTGTAGATCAGAATTTCCAATGAAAAGCGATAAAGACAAAATTGGATTTGAAAAGCGATTAAAACGAAAGCAAAAGAAAACCTTCTGAGAACAGATTGAGAATCAACGGATTTAGGCTGAGGAAGAGATTGCTTTGAGGGAGCAATGTTGTCTTGACCAGCTTCTGGGTGGACGTTAATGGTAGCCATTGAAATGAGAGTAGCGATTGATTATTGTTTAGGGTTTTGGGACAAGTAATGGAAATGAATACAGAGATGAAAGAAAAGTGGTGACTGTGTTGTTGATTTTAAACCAAGTGCCTGTGATGAAACGACGTCGAAAGTGAGTTTCGAGTAATTCGAACGTTGAGAAATTAATTCACAACGGCTAGTAATAGTTTCTCATATATGGAAATAAATCTCATTCTAGAATTCTGTTCAATTAAAATATAATATTATTATTAAGAGTTTAATTGATATAGGCACTCGTTAATTTGTTAGAAAAGTTTGACTTAAATTTTAATAATTTGTAAAGTAATATTAACGGATGATTGTGATATATTGACCGTGTAAAACTTTGTATACGGATAATTAATCTCTATTATCATTATTATTAGGTCTAATATCTTTTTTAGTTTCTTAACTTTAGTTAATATTTTTGTTTGGTCCCTTAAAAAACATTAAACTATGGTCCACTAATTTATATTCTGTTACATATTTTAGGCCTTTTTATTAGGTTTTGTTTCAAAAACGTTAAAAATTGTTTTGTTGGACTTTAAATGGCTGAAGTAAAATTTGTGTATTTATTTTAATGGCTGAAGTAAAATTTGTGTATTTATTTTAATGGTTGAGCCAGAATTTATATTACAAATAAGTGTCATTTGAAGAAGATGAAAGGTATTAGGGCATATTGACATTCTTGGATAAAAGCTCAGTTTGAGAGAGGAAACAACAAAGACGTTGTGCACGCAGGCAGATTCCATTGAAGATGACGATAGCGACACTGTTGACAACCCTCCATTGAAGACGAGCTTCATTCATCAATCGTTTGCAGAAGAAACTCTAAGGTACGAACTTGCAATAGTAAGTTTACTAAAAATATTAACTTCGTTCTTTACCCAACTTACTTTGTACTTCTAATACTATATATAGGTTGATTAGATCATGGAGATTAAGTTTTAGTATGTTGTTCATCATTCTGGTGAGTTTTCTAGTGAGTTTATCAATTTTACCAAGTCAGATTATGTAGGGTTAGAGGAAATTTGGGATGTTGATCCCGATTATTGGATTTACTTTAAAATATTAGACAAGTTAAAAGAGTTAGGTTACACTACTATAGATAGGCTTTGGTATTATGATGACATGTATGCTAATGATATAGTTCTGTTAGAAAATGACAAGGTGACTGATAGGATGAGAACAATTTCAGTGATAACTGGGGAATGCCATTTATATGTTACACATCCTATATCTGAACTTGATGTTATTGAGGAACCTATACTCTCACTATCAGATGGGACCACATTGGATGAAGACGTGGTTGGTGAAGGACCTAAAATGGTAAATAATCAAGATGGGATCACAATGGTTGAAGATGTGGTTGGTGAAGTACCTGAAATGGGAAGTAATGAAGGTGGGACCACAATGGGTGAAAATGTGGTGGAAGAGGGGACAACAATTGAGGAAGTTGAGGAGAATGTTGGAATTGAGGAAAATGAGGAGAATGTGGGGACCAACTGTGAAATTGAGGAGAATGTGGGTCAAGAGAAGACAAGCTGTAATAATACGGATGATGTGGGGACCAACTGAGTCAGAGAGATTCAAACAAGTGTTAGAGAGAATCCAGCTTTGAAGTTGACTGATATTAAGGAGAAGACACATGAGAAATGGAATGTTGGCATTAACAAGACATTGACATATAGAGCAAATGTACTAGTTGTTGATATTGTGGATGGTTCTTTTAAAGAGCAATATAGAAGAATCCATGATTATGGCCATGAACTCTTAAGGGCAAACCTAGAATCAACTGTGAAGATTACAAGTCAACCAGTTTAAGGCGAGAGCAGTGAAAACCTTGGTCAAATGAATCCTCACTTTCAGAGGATGTCTGTATGTCTCAAAGCTTGCAGGGACAGTTTTTTAAGTGCATACCTAGTATAGTATTATATTGTTTTTTCCTAATGGGATACTATGGTGGACACATACTAGTTGCTATTGGGAGGGAGCCAAATGACCAAATGCTACCAATTGCATATGTTGTTGTTGAAGTTGAAACTAAAGACTTATGGAGCTGGTTTTTAAAATTATTGATACCTGATTTGGGAGGCCTTGTGGGCAAAAATTAGTGTTGTTGATCTTCATCCAAGACCAATAAAGAGGCAGCCTAGAAGGCCAAAGAAAAAAGGAATAGGAAGCTGGAGAAATGGTGAGGGATGAGACACACATGAATAGGGAAAAACATGGTATCAAGTGTAGTCGTTGCCACAAGGATGATCACAACAAGGTCACTTGTAAACTACCAGAATCACAAGCTCCTTCAAGTCAAGTACAACAAGGAACAAATGAGCCACCACAAAAAAATGTTTCAAGTCAGGTATAAGAAGCAACAATTAGTCACCACTACCAGTTTTACAAGTCATCCACCACCACCAGATGTTACAAGTCATCCACCACCAACCGTTGTTACAAGTCAGACACCACCACCTATTGTTACAAGTCAACCACCACCCGGAACTAAAAAGCCTGGGTGGCAAGTCTGTTTCAAGTCAATCTTGATCTTTGTTATGATGTCTGGTCACATTTTGTAATGTCATTTTATTATTTCTTTTAATGGCCTATCTGTTTTGCTTTTGTAAAGCACATTTTGGAATGTCATTTTGTAAGGCACATTTTGCCTTATTTATAATGGACCATTTGTTTTGTATTTGTACCACATTTTGGAATGTTATATTAATGCCTTATAATGGTCTTTTGTTATTGAACTAGTTATGTATCAAACTTCAGATCTGTTAATGAAAGTTGAAATAACTTATAATATCAAATTATATTACTGTATAGTTTCCATAAAGTCCCTTAATTTTATAATTTGTTGCAAATTTGTCTATTTACTATTTTAATTTATCCCAATTATTTGTCATTGAGCTGCATTTTATACAGGTTAAATTTTGAGACAAATTTGTACTAGTTATGTATCATAAATTTGTACGTTATGTATCACAGATGTGTTGAGACAAAAGTGTTGAAATAGACACTAATATTATTGATTAAACCAACTTAACAATACATTGAAAATGTGAAAACATAACATTGAACTATCCTAATTCTAATTGAAATACATTGTTACAAACACAAGGTTCAATCCTAAGCTCAACATCCCAACCACAATGCACATTTTCAGTCATCCTCTAGTGTAGATAACCTCGTCCTTCAATTTGTTAATTTTCTTCTTTTTTTTCTTTCAAGCTTCAAATCCCTTTCATCAACAAACTCATCACCTAACCACTTGAAGAAATTAAAACCATTTTCCATGCGATTTCTGTAATTTCTACAATCCCAGAATTTTCTTCCATAGTTGACAATGTTCACATCATTCATTGTTCTAAGAACAATGTCATCTTGCCAAAAACACTATAGTTTCTTGTTTCTATGAATCACAGATCCAGATGTACCATAACTTTGGTTGTTTGATATTGAAGCGTTACTTGCCATCTTTGACATTGAATCCTAATTTGGAGAAGAAAATAGAAGATGGAAGATGGAAGAAAGAAGATGGTGGTTTAACTCTAATTTGAAGAAGAAAATGGAAGAAGAGGAAATATGGATGAACACAGCAAATAGAAGATGATACAACCCAAGAACCATATGTAACGTTTATAACTATGGGTTAAATGTTCAATTAGACATTTGCTTACTTGGCATGCCACCTCACACAATGATGTTTTTTCACACAAACTATCGGTAGGGACCAAATAGTTTAATGGAAGTGAAATTAAAGGATCATTATGTAACATTTTTTAGTCCGGGAATCAAAGCGAAACATCGTTCAAACTTAAGGGACCTAGGGACTAATTATGCTTTATTGTTATTATTATTATTATTTCTTTTATTTTTTTCTTTATAGGGTTAATTAAAATTCGATTTTATATATATATATATATATATATATATATATATATATATATATATATATATATATATATATATATATATATATATATATATATATATATATATATATATATATATATATATATATATATATATATATATATATATATATATATATATATATATATATATATATATATATATATATATATATATATATATATAAAAATTGACAAAAGTACTATGGTAAAAAAGTATATTTAATATTTTTATAAAAATAAAAATAATTAGTATTAATATTTTAAACTACAACGACAATAACTAATACTTATCATATTAAGTGGGATCGGCTACATGAATTAACTTTCACCATAATGTTTTGTTAAAGATCGTGTTTTTATTCAAATTATTAATCTCGAGATATTTTTTAATGATTTCTCTCGGATAGATTTTCTAGGTCCTCTCATTCCTATAATTGTTTGCGTTCTCTCCGTTTGATCTACTCTCCTTACTACAAAATCTACCAATCTTCTCTTTACATGTTCAAATCACTTAAGTCTATTTTTCACCAACTTCACCACTATAGACACTACCTCGTTACTCTAATATTTTAATTTCTAATTCTATCTTGTCAAGTCTTACCATACATCCACCACAACATTTTCATCTCTGTTACATTTACTTTATTCTCATGTTGATTTTTAACCGCTCAATTATATCCCGTGCAAAACTGTAGGTTTTCCCGCAATCCAATAAAACTTTCTCAAATACAATTTAGATCAAACACTATAGAAATTCATAATAAAATGAGCAAAGAATATATGTATCGAGCTCAACACGAAAAACCTTTAATATGATCAGCTCACGATAATAGATGATAAGGTGTGACAAAACTTTCTATGGCTACTCCTAAATATATAGTTTTTTCACAAATGATGGTTGTGGAAGCTGTGGAAGCACGTCAGTTTCGAGCATCATTGTTTACCTCAACATTTAACTTTTTTGACACGTCAAATTTATCATATCAACTCAATAAATATAACAACAAACTAAAGTGTAAACGAGCTTATCCACTTAATATATAAGACATGGATCAACTCAATCACTATTCTAATTTTTAAAATAGTCTTAAATTTAAAAAATAGACTTAAATTAAAATATATATATATATATATATATATATATATATATATATATATATATATATATATATATATATATATATATATATATATATATATATATATATATATATATATATATATATATATATATATATATATAATTTTAATAATTAAAAATAACGTATCAAAAATATAATTATATATTAATTATTCTGTCTAGTGTATCTGCTAATGATCAATTCTGCATTATTTACCAGTAATCAATCTATTAATAATTTTATTGTGAAATTGTACTCCTACAATAAATTATAAGAATTGTATTTTCAACTAATTGCAATAGCAAGACACCTATGTTTCATAACATTTAACTCAATCTTGAAAGTTGTATTGGTAGTTATAGGAGCTTTTAGGACCAAAGTTTTGTTTGTATCCATAACATGTAGTGCCTTGTCCTTTGTGTGAATCTTGTAACCCTTTTCAATCAATTAGCAAAAGGTTACACTTGATTTCTGGAATGTACAACACATATTTGATCAAGGAATGTCCACCATCTCTTCTCATGATCAAAACATCACTGAGTCCATCGGTCGCTAGAGTGGTATCATCCGCAAACTTTACTTTGTTATTCAAGACACAATTGATTGTGACAAACCAATATTTTCTCCCCGTCATATGAGTAGAACATCTGAAGTCCAAATATCATTGATTGTTGCATTGAATTGCCTCTTTCGTAGTCACCATTATGTTTTCTTCTGCAGTGTTTCCAAAACCGTCGTTACTCTTGGTGTCTCGCAGCCTGTTGTTATTGCATTCCCCTTTTGTGATCATGACCAAGAGTGTGTTTTCCTCATCAAACTATTGTCTTACAATCTTGACTTCATCCACTTAAGGTTCTTTCTTGTTCGCATTGCACTCTCTTGCAAAATGATCGAACTTTTGACAAATAAAGCATTGCACCTTGCTCTTATTAATCATTATCTTTTCACCTTTAAAGTTGCCTTGACCATCATTCTTGTTGAAGTTGCTCTCACCCTTTTGGCAACTCGAATTTTTGGAATTTTGCGATTCTCTTCCACAAAAATTCTAAAAATTCTCTTCACTCATCATGGGTCATTTTCCTTACAAAGCAACATTCGCCTTCACAATTTCTCTCCTTCATTCTTTGCTCATGTGCCTGATGAAAGCTTTGTGGCTCCTCTTTCCTCGTCGTTGCAAGATCATTCAATTCTTTAATCGCTACAACCACATTGTCAAATCTTAGCGTTAAAGAATGTGAGATTTTTGCAACAACATACTGCTCTGTGACCGCTTTTCCATGTGTTTTTACTTGACTCACCAACTGAGTAATTCTCATAGTGAAATCGTTGATGGTCTCCTTCTTCTCCATTTGAATCAATTCAAGTTGATGTTTGTGAGTTTCTAACCTTACCACCTTCACCTTGTCGACCCATGTGTATGTCTTCTCTAATATTTCTCACACTTAATTCAATGATTCGCAATTACCAACTTTCTCAAAATTGTCACCATCCACACATTGATGGATCAAAAATAACGTCTTAAGTTTTTTTCTCTTTTCTTCCTTATGTGTTGCTTGTTGTGCATTTATTATACCTTTGACAAGAGGATTCACCTCGTTCTTGATCACTTCAAGAACAACTTGGTAGTCAAATAACACATTCATTTATTTGCACCATTTGTTGTAGTTCTTTGCATCAAGAATGGATAGGCTTACATAGATTCTTTCATTAGAAACAAACTTCATGTTGCGCACTAGGTATTTGGTAGATCGAACCAGACTCTTGATGCCAAATGTTAGAACTTGAAATCACCCGGTTGGTAAAAACGGAGGGATTGAGTGTGAAGAGGGAGAGAGTGAAAAAATTAAAGAGTATAATTGAGAGTGAGAATTAACATTGCATTCATCCATAATACCTTCAAAATATATATGCAATTACAAGTGAATTAGGACACCAATAACAACCTAACATGACCGAAAATATGAAAACTAACCGTCTGTAACCGATTACACAAAACCTATAATCGATTACCAATGTTTCAACAAAACTAAAACAACTAAGTGATAACATGTTATTGCAAATGTGTAACCGATTACAACCTTGAGTTAACTTTCTATTTTCAATCCAAAAGGGAATTTTGCCAGATTTCACCCTGTATTATTCAATTATAGCACTTGAATTATTGTTTTTAAAGTAACAAGATTCACATGCACTTCTTTTCCTTCTTTTACAATAGATTCACATTAGCTATGCTAATTTATTTATAAAGTTGTGTGAAAATTAATTATCCAGACGAGTCCACCCTCCTAACAATTAGTGACTGACTTCGAGGAGTCTACTAGTAAGAGAAATCTATACTTAGAACAATTCACAAGAAACTGAAAACAAAATCTCATCGAAAATAAGAAATAATGGAACTTGCGATAAGAATATGCTTTCTTCCCACCAGACATTTATAGTTGCGCAATTTACAATAACATTATGTAACAAAAATTGGGAGGAGTGTCAAGATTGGTTGCTTCTCTTTCAGTTTCATGAACTCTTCAGAGCTGCTAAAGCTTCCCTTGTTGCCAACGAGACAACTGCGTCTGAGGCATTTGGTAAATAATAATACTTCCCTGCAGTATGAGTTTTTTTTCATGAACCCAGTTTTCTTCTGTTTCAGAACTAAATACATTTATTCAATAAAATAGCAGTACACAAACCTTGAGCAACTCTAGCAATCTCTTTAGCAAAACCCGTTGAGACAAACTTGTTTTCAGTGTCGATGACAAGAAGAGACATTCCTGCTTTATATATCTTTGCAGCTACCTCAATAATTTCATCCTTCATCAAAACAAAGTTATTAGTTAGTTCATGTTGAGAGAAGGTGGAACCGAATATGTATAATGTAAAATTCTGCAAACTAATGCAGATTTAGGAAAACTGTGAAATGAAAGTAATGCTTATTAAAAAATAGAGATAAAAAATAACAAAATTTTCCCACTGAGAAAAGGAGATCAAGAAAACAGAATGTGTGGCATCTAACATGTTAACATTTGATAAACCTCTCAAAGTGGTAAAATAGATATTGAAACCTCATAGGAATGATGTTAACTGTATACTAATGGTATTACTTTTCTTGAATTCAATATAAATGGCTTCCACTCATAAGTAGCAAGCTCCCCACTATACATAAAACCAATGTTAAGGTTTAGATTCTCATTTCTTTGATTACAAAGCTTAGCTGTACCTTCAATTCTTGCGATGTAGGTTTAGGAGCATCACTGGCAGCAGCAGCTTCAGGGTCATTTGACCTTTTCAATGATATGTTGGCTCGACCATCAGTGATTGCAACAATCATTATACGTCCAACATCGCCACTTTTCTCAGCATTTAATCCAACCCTAACAGCCTAGGCATTTTAAGGAAGAGAATAAGCTTAAGATTCAGCAAAATATATATTTTGGGGAACAAAGTCTATTTCTGATTCATGAAAGACCAGACTGAAATAAAGAGGAATATACATAATAAAATTATATTGACATTTCTTAATCAGAAATACAATATAAGCAAAGATCTATAGCTTGAGTTTATGGCCATTGTCATTTTCACATAAATGGTAATGTCAATATTCCTTTAAACATGCCAATAGTTGGAAATCGCCATTTGAAATATTAAAAACACGTTCAGAGTAACATAAATAGCAGTTCATAGCTTTCTAAATTTGACCTCAGTAGAACTTGTGTTTGTTTAAAATTTTTAAAATATTACTATAATAAACAAGAGATCTTAAAAGATCTGCATACTGTGGTAAGACCATGTGCAAGGGGCGACCCTCCACCACATGGCAGTCTTTCAAGACGTTTCCTTGCCATTGCAATTGATCTAGAAGGTGGCAGGAGAACTTCAGCAGAATCTCCACGGAATGGAATAATAGATACCTATTTAACCAGAATAGTAATTGTTAGTAATAAGACTATGCAAATAGTTTCATAGTAAATTAATGTTGTTTTCTGTTTAATCCAACAAATATCACCACTTAAACTCTGATGTGTTTAGATTAGATGTATATAATGAATCATATAAACAAATCAAACTTATTGCAATTGTTCTATTCTAAAACAGTGATTCTGGTTTGAGAATTCACAATTATGCAAATATAGGCATCGATAACCAGCTATGCACAGGTTAACCCTGAAAATAACAGGTACCACCTTAGGCACTGCCAAGAAAGTAAAGAATTGTTATAATTTATAAACTGCTTGTGCTCTCAGGTGATAAAGTAACAATTCTCTTGAGGTGGATATATATGTCTTATTTGAATAATGAAACTTTGTTTTTTTCAAGTTCTGTCTAATAATTTTTATACAAAACTCACATGGTGGATTGGAACGTGTAATTTCTGAAATGATATAAAGCCTCATTTCATTAACCATTAACTTATAAAGAAACTCACATTGGTTGTTAAAAAATATGTTGCATACAAACCTGATCCCTGCTTGTATAACTGTCTGCCAGAAGCTTAAGTGCTGCACCTTTTGCATTCTGCATTCTGTTCAACGCCATGCTTCCACTGGCATCAACCACAAATATGACCTACAATAATTAAATTTATCATTTTAAAAATAGTATGAAAGCTTACTCAAACAATTCAATATTTCTGTAGTAAGTATTGTCAGAGCAAACTGGAGATTTTATATTCCATGGTCAGTAAAATAAAATTATTGATGCAAATATATTAATATTTAAATCCTATAATCAGAATTAATCACTAATAATCAATTGTATATAGTCAGTAAGACACTAAGAGTCTAAACCAAATAAGGAGGCTTTGCGTAACGTCATCATCAGCCATATTTTTTCAGTTTGATGCGACAATTGTTATAACTATATAGCCATTAACGTGTATGCAGCCTTAAAAGGTTTGAAAAATAAAAGGGATGACTGATGATGGCAGAGAATATAAGAATAACAGTACCAATGCTCCTGCTTTACGCGCCATTCTCTTTGCCCTCATGTCAGTTTTTTCAACATATACTTTTCTACGGTTTTCAGTGTCCTTTTCCCTTCGCAACTTTTGATAAGGTGCAGCGGCTCTAAGGGTTGCATCAACTGCTAATCTCTTTACAGGACCCTGCAAACAGTGGCTTCATTTAGTGGGGGAAAAACATATACAACTTGAAATTGTACTGAAAGTGAAATAGTCTTGATGATCGAAGAAAATTACTTTGCGGGAATTGTAAATGTGATTCAATTAGAATACTATGACATAAATGCAAGTTGACATGAACTAATCAAATTATTTGATTATATATACTCGTTTGGCGCTCGCCAAAGTTCCATGAAAAAATTATAAACAGAAAACTAGCTAATTATATTTGATGTTTTAACTTTCACTTGTAGAACAAACAAATGGGGTCAGGAGTACCTTTGGAAGCATTGGCTTGATGTATCGGCCTCTGTCCTCTGAAAATATGACATTTTTTGCCCTTCCAGCCTTCCCACGGCGTCTCTGTGCTTGTTGGGCAAAGAAGAGAAGTTTCTCATCCACCAAACCCCCTTCAGCATCAAAGATAAATTCTTCAGGTAATTGGTCTTGCTGTTGTTCATTCTCTTCATCATTGTCATCCTGTTCAGAAAGTCAAATTATATAGGTACAGTGAGGTAGGTGTTTAAATTTAGGAGAATTATTACTGAACATTATTAATTTTTTCAGAAACAAATTACGCAAATATGTCCAAATACAAACATCTGTTTCAAAAGATAGGAAACACGCTGTACTTGGCATGGTCTCCTGTGAATGAGCAAAACTTTATTACTTTAAAAAATGATTTTTGTTTAAATTTCTGAAAAGTGATTTAACTTAACCTCTTCGTCTTCTTCTTCTTGTTCTTCTTCTTCATTCTGTTCTTCATTAGATTCTTGGTTTTGTGGAGGCGGTGGAGGAGGCGGCGGCTGATTTTGTTGCTCGGGTGGAGTATCAGTAACGATTGACCGGGGAAGAATGACCAATTCTACCTGTATTACAGAATATAGAATTAATCATTTATCGGACAGACTCTTTAATTTCAGAAAGTAATAACGACGACTACATAATTAGTGTTATTGGGCTGAGTTTGTACTAATTATACTCCACTTGTACTTGATCAAAACTCTTGAGCATAAATACATATAAAGGGCCTAACCAAGATGAAGATCACATACACACACACACACACACACATACATACAGGTAGAGCTAAAACTGGGATAAAACTCCAAACATCGGCATCTCATTCTCCTTCTAAAATAAAGAAAAAAATATTTAGATTAATTCAAAGAATACTGATTTTTCTATCCTTCATTATATATAATTATGGATCAAATTGTTGCCCAATTAGTAAATGATGCTGTGATTTGTAGAGTTAGTAATTTTAGAGTTGGCAAATTATTTCAGCTCAAATAAATTTCTTTTAAGACTATATATTCTTTTCACTTCACAGAAACAGAATATCACAAAGTTCGAAAACAGAAGGCAGAGGTAATAAAATTATATTTAACCAAATTCTTAGTAATACTGGCAACATTCATAGCCTGTTCCAAATACACGATTTTGCAAATATTGCACTATAATAGCAAAATAAAATTATGAATCTTTTGGATGCATAGTTCAAGGATATTATTATTTTGTTGCCCTTCCTTTTTATGAGGCTATCATCACTATAAACAACTAGTGGTAAATATTGAGCTACACCTACATAGCATTTAACTGAAACAAATTAAAGTAACTAGATAAATATATATTTTAAATGTGTAAGACACAAACTAAATATTGACCACTTATTGTTCATGGGTAGCAAGAAAACAATGAAGAAAGAAACCTCCACACTTCAAACTACTGACACTTGGTAGTCACGTTCCTAGGAGGATGCTATAAGAACTGCAGAGCCGAGAATTTAAATTTCAAAGAAAGCTTACGGCTTTTTTAAGGTCATCTACATAAACCTTTTCACGTCCCTCCAGAGCAGCTAAGCACTTGGCAACACGAGCAGCATACAGCTCAGCTCTGTGTCCCTGCAGTTCATAACAAGTATTCAAAATTATCAAAGCACACAACTAAGGACATCAGCTCTGACGAGCGATGGATTTTTTCTCTTGAACAGAGTATTTATAGATTGACAAATTTTATTACACTATGTTTCAAACTTTTGTTTAATTTCTTCCATGGTATTATCACCAAATCATATTTTAAATTATACAATGCACTGAAACCTCTATTCTCTTTTATAATGCATGATTATTCCTCTTATCACTATACACTGTAACAAATATGATGACACCAAATATACTCATGATTAAATACTAAATCATATAACAGTTTTAGAGAAAGAAGAGCTTGTGTTAGACGACACGTCATCAAAAAATAGCATAGTAGAACCAGGTAGGTTTGGGCAGTCGCTTAATTAGGTAGTTAGGCAGTTATGCTTGTGTGATAGCATTTATGTGTTTTCAGAATTGTAATAAATAGGAAAGTTATGGAAAAGGTTATTCAGTTATTTGGATTAAGGATTGGGAGGGAGAGACCAAGCTCTTGAATCTTGGAAGGGAATATCCTTGTAACATAACCATCCTTGTCTCTATAGACTTTCCTTTATGTTCTGGTGTGTGATTGCAATAACAAATTTATATCCTCAGTTTTAAGACCATTCTGCAGATGATTTATCCTACTTTATTCGAACATAGATACCAGTTTTAACACCTTGTTATGGAATGAAAATTATACTGCATTGATGACCTCAATGAAGTGATCAGCATAAAAAGAGAGATAGAGAAAGAAAGAATCCAGAATTTCCTTTAAAATTATAACCCTTCTTTGGCCACAATTATACCAGATATTTCTTGTGTTTCCAAACTTTATATTGCACTTATAGTCTCCTAAACACAGCTAGTAGATTAGAAAATATAGAATGATCAATTATTGAAGCAATATTTTCTTGTCCAGCTCACTTGATTGGTTTGAGCTAGATGAAAGTTAGAGGTAGAGGGATATCAAGAAAGACTGTAAGTTAAACCAATAAGAGAGATCCAGATGCCCTCTCAAGCAAAAAGAGATTTGGCGGTAAAGGTCTGTCTTTGAACTTAATACATGATACGGAATTACGACATTATCTGAATTCTGAAGCATGTAGCAGAAACTCTGAAAAATGTATTTATTTTCAATTAGCAGAAGAATGAGATATTTGGTTCGGTTTATTTCATTAGAAAGTAGAAAAATTGCTTCCTTAAGAAACAAAAAGAATTGACCAAAGTTCACAATCAATGGATATCTGTAGTGTACAATCATATTTACCACATAAAAAACTTCTGCGGAAAAAAAAAAAAAAAAAAAACTTGTTACATACCTGGACACCACCTCGTAAAGCCTCAATAACCAGGTACTTCAATTGTTCTTTGCTAATAGTAACATCCTTGAGATACTCTCTAGCCAAGATGATCTGCATTTCATAAATATTAAGTCATAACACTGTTTCTGTCAAACTACTCAGCAAAGCCAATATTGTGAAAAATGGAATAAAAGCTGTCAACTCGGAAGTTCCATTTAACTATATATCAAAAGACAAAAATAAAATAGACAAAAGGAATCTAAAAAGCAGATACCGAGCCAACATATAAATCGTAACATTAGTAATTTCGTTGAAAGTTTTACAAAGTCTCAGCTGGGAGACTCAACTGCTTTAGGTCCTCACCACCTATCAACCAGCATTTACATTTTAGAAATGACATTATGAATGTGAACCTATGCATGATTGTTAAAATCATACTTGCTAGTCATACAGTGGCTTGTAACTCTCAAGACCAAGTAATTTTATTTATTGTGTGCATAGCTTAGGCTACAAGCTACTCTACTTTACTCTGTTTTCTTGTTGGCAGAACCCAGGTTAAAAAGGTGTTTCTTCGGCAGAATAAGGATGAGTAGAGGGGAATAGAATTTTGGATAGTTTCTATCGTAAAAACCAGGACCAGTTCAAGTTACGGCTGTTTTAAAAGTTAGTTAAATATCACAACCAAATTAGAGGAGAAATACAGAAACAACAACATATCAGAAGTGAGTGGAAATAACAGAGATCCGATTGGATTTGCAAGGGAGTGCAGGGACTCTCAAATTTCCCAGGGTTATGTGTACCTATCTATAACTTGTGTTCTTCCATCCCCCCTTGTGATTTTGCAATCATCTTGATTCAGATTCAGGGAGGAGAGTGATATTCAATAAAAATCCTATTGTGTTCCTATCTGTTCGTCTTTTCCGATATCATTCCTATTACACTCCTAGGCGTACCTGTGTCTTTGCATTGTCTGTATCCTCATCGACCATTTTAAATACTTGGCTACAGTTATCCTGAAACTCTGTTGCAATTCCAACAGCTTCAACACGGTTTTCAAAACTCATTGGAAGATCTGCACTGCAGAGGAGTGTATAATTAGAAACAAGAAAGATGATCAAATTTCGATAACTCGTCTAATTTTGGGTTAAGGTTTTTTTAACCATTCAATAATTTTTTATTAGTTGATAAAAATATGACGACTTGAAACATTTTTCAATTGATTTTTCTTACCATCTCAGATTTCAAAAGTAAGAAATAGCAATGAATTAGCTATTGTCACAGAGAGAAAGAGATGAAGAGAGAAGAGACAAATACAAAAGTGAGAAGGAGAAACGGAGGCAGAGGAATGTGAAAAAAATTTCATCACTTCAGGACAGTTTCAGAGTATTTTAATTATAACGGCTTCATGACATTATTAATGAACTCAGAATGATGCTTATCTGGCATTTAACACTGAAGTTTTTTTCTAATTTCATGAAATTATGTAGCTTACTTGTCTCATTGCCACACTCATCTTTGATCTATCTTGTAAGGGGATGAAAATAAAAAAGAATCCTGAAGGAGGAATATTGTAGAGTACAGCCGTACCTCAAATTAATTGCAATGCGGTCTAGCAGATGTTCACGAACAGAACCTTCGTCAGGGTTATAGGTAGCAATCAGCAGGGGCCTGCATGGGTGCCTAAAGCTGATTCCCTCTCTTTCAACAATATTTACTCCTTCAGTCAGTACATTAAGGAGCAAATTACTGATACCCTCGTCCAAAAGATTAATTTCATCAACATATAAAACACCTCTATGAGCTTCAGCGAGTAGGCCTGGTTGGAAAACAGTCGTGCCTGTCTTCACAGACTCCTCAACATCAACTGATCCAATGAGTCTGTCCTCTGTGACTCCAAGAGGAATCTGAATCATAAGCAAATATATGATGGTTTATAGGAAAAAAAATATCTTCATAAATAATTATCAGAATGAATGTTAGATAATAGAACTTAATCACATGCATGGAAAGCTTATTCTCTGAACAGTACCTGAACAAAGGGAGACTTGATGATATGAGTTTTAACATTTCCATCAGAATCATATTCCACGCGTTTGTAAAGACCATCTTCCCACCTACAAATGTTAACTCTTGCTCAATGAGCTTAAAAAAGGGAAAAAGAAGAATCTAAAACAGCTTTTGAAACAAAAAGACTCAACAGTAAAAATAAGAAAGGGGGTCAACAAAGATTGCTTCATCCCACTTAAAAGATTTTCCTCAGTATGCTAAATTAGTAAAGTTATTTTATTTCTCAACTCTCCAAAGTCCAAAGTGGTCAACATTTTTCTCAAAAGAAGGAAAAAGCCAGTGACCTTACTCTTCAGGGCACGAGGGATCTGCATTGGCTATGGAACCTTGTACTACTTCGATAGGCGGAAGAATTGCATGCATTCCACGCGCCATTATTGTTTTAGCAGTTCCTCGTCTTCCTGATATAGCAATCCCTCCGATCCTAGGGTCAGTAGCCCCAAGTAAAAGAGCAGTTTTAATAGCATCCTGTATAACAACCACAATTCTCAAAATTCATCCTTCAATAGAAAACAACAAATCAACTCAAATTCAAATATCTAATCACTAAACCCTTCAAAAAATCAGAAAGGTTTTCAAAACACATAATCAATTGTTATATCTCCATCATTTTCATCTCCTCTTCAATCATTTCATGAAATAAACAAATGCGTGAATCGTTAAAGCAAACTAAACAAATTCCAATTTCATAATGTTTCCATAATAACAAGTATAAATAAAAAAATACAAAAAAAAAAAAAAAGAATAATTACTTGGCCTATAACAGCGGCGAGAGGGAAGTACTGTCTTCCGTAATTGGAAGCATCGAGCTTCTCCTCAGGAGCTTGCAGAAGAGCTCCATTTTCGGATTGAGCGCGAAGTTTTGGAACGGTACGTTTAGGTGGAAATGTAGAATGCAAAGAGAGAAACGGTTTTGATTTGAATGAAGGAGGAAGAAGAGAGTGGAATCGGAGTTGAAGATTGGGGGAAGTAGTGTGTGTCAAACTGAAACCCATTTGATTGAATTTAGAACCAATAATCACGCTGCCACCCTTTCTTATCCGTTCTTCTCTTCTTCTGTATTTCTATTTTCGTTTTGGAGGGTTAATTAATTCATTCATTAATGGAATAAACATAAATAATAAATAAATAAACTAACTTGTACTTGTGTGAATATTTTTATAGTTAAAAAGTAAAATATTTTAAAAATACATGGTTTATTAATTGAGAAAATTAAAATTTAATTAAAAAATAGATAAATTTTTAGATATCCTATAGTTTTAACACCAGACACAAATCTATAAGAGATAAGTTTGGTAGTGTTAATTAATTTATATTTTTTATTTTTTAAATAATAATATTTAAAAATAATGTGTTATTGAATATCCTAATTTATTGGAGGCACTAATACCTAATTAGTCTTCAGGATATCGAGATATTCATCTAAAAAAATAATATTATCAAAATACATGGTTCATTAATTGAGAAATTTTAAAATATTATAAAAATATATACTTTTAAAATACATGGTTTATTAATTGAGAAATTTTAAAATATTATAAAAAAATGAATGATTAATTCAAAAAATAAAATAGCTCGGAGATTTCAAAATGATGTTCCCTAATTGAATACTCTCTTCGTCTCAAATTATAGAGAGAGAAATATTCACACTTTATGTCATGTAGAACTCGTTTCACAATAGTGACAGTGGGACTATCTGCATATGATAGTGCTTGGTTGAAATTTTCACTGTCGGCTCCCGACATATGATGGTACATATAATTTGAAGATTTTAAGTCAAAATAGTGTGTACTTGAATTTGAGGTCTTCATTAGTTTTTTATATTTAGAGTTTAGGTCTAACGCTCCTAAAACCTTTTTAGGGACAATTGTTTGAGGGGACGGATGTCATGGGATCTCGTCAGTTCTTATCATCTGATGATCTACCATTGCTAGTTAACCATGATCACGTGTATGTATAAGATGTGTTCATTTATTGGTCTTGTTGTGAAACGATGTCGTCAATAATAGAACAAAATCATGAGATAAAGATTGAGTATCTTGAACAAACACAATAAACTCTATTAGGTTTTACGAAAGAGAGAGAAAAAGGAAGAAGAAGAATAAGAATTAGTTAAAATTATTTTATTATTCACTTTTTCAATAAGGACTCAAAGATTACAATTGAATACCAACAATTAATCTCTCTCAACAACTTGAGATAACTAGTTTATTTATAGACTACCAAGCTAACTTTGGCTACAAACTAACTTAACAATTTTGACTTACTACCAAGACCCAATTCGACATGTTAACTTAAACACAAAGCTAACATATTTCGACAACATGCTTGAATATACTTCAACTACAACATGCACAAAGCTATCCTTGTCGACACTGGAGTTCAATCCAAATACCACAGATCCAATTAGCTTCCTAAGACTTGGGTGACTTACTAACCCGTGGATTAGTATTTGGCTAAGACCGGAAGAATAGTCCCTCGAGCATTTAATTGATAAAATCAAGTGATAGATTGAGTCAAATGTTTTTTTTTGGTTTGTAGATGACTAACTAAAAGTCCCTTGTTAGGACTATCCTCCACTAAATCCACTATTTTTTCTATTGGTTTGATGACGGAGTTAACTTGTGAGCTCAACTGTTTTACCATTAATATTTTTTATTTGGCTAAGGAATATGATCCTGGTCCTAAAATGTAACTTTGAACATCATTGGTTGTGGTGCATACCCAATTTCGTCTTTATTGAGTTCTATGGGTTTTTTCTTTTGTGTACTTATTTATAAAAATGTTTTTGACCAAAGATGTATCTACTATACCCTCATTCTCTATTGAAAACCGTGGAATAAGATGGATCTCTTATAGGGGTCATCCATCTTGGTGGTGGATAGAAAATCGAGTGTGGCTCCTATACCATCTTAAGAGGGAGTCTAGCTAACCAAGGTTGAGGGATGAGATTCTCACTCAACTAAGCATGAGAGATTGGATGTGGGATCTGACTTGTTAAAGTTGGGGTCAAAATTATTACTTAAACAAGTACGAGAGCTTGGAGGGGAAATTTGACTTACTGAAGTTAATAGTTGAGGTTCTCACTCAACTAATCATGGAAGTTTAGAGGGGGTCAGATTTATAATATTGTGTAACAAAAACACGTATCAATTATAGATGAAAACTCGTTAGCAAATGTGTATATAAATCTACTAGTTGATAAGGAACTAAATTGTTCAAGGGGTCTTAATTCATTAAATTGGTTGGATGTTAATCCATATTGGTGGAGTAGATGACTCATTTCTCTTCCCATAATGACCTTTAGAAATGGCTTTCATACCATTTCTTACACAACAAACACTAAAGACAACAAACTCGAGGTGAGTGTTATTACTTCAAAGACTATATGTTAATTTAACCCAACTATAATGTCTTTGTTTTGGAATATAAAGTGCCAAGTCCCTAGTTATTAGAATCAATAAGTTAAATGGAAGAGTTTAATTTTTTGAGTTGTCAAATCCATCATCGTTCCAATCGAAGACCTAGGTGAGAGAGCTAAAGTTATTGTGATTGAGGTTATTTTTAGTCATGTTTATCTTCAAAATCTTTGTTGTAACAAAATTGTATGAAAAGTTGTGCATGCAATAAAATATCATCAGCTGGTCCGTGATATAAATCATGTAACTTTAATGTACTTCTTACATTGGAAAAGCTATGTATGAAAGTAAGAATAAGATCATTCTTTAAGAGTTTTCATATTTTTTGAATGGTTATATTTTATTCGGCACTTATTCTTTGGTTGGGGTTGATTATATTCCTTGTGTTAGAGTGTATGATTATTCATATTTAGTTCCTACAAATATAATGGTCAGTGTGGTACAACCACATAAAATTGACTTTTCTATGAGTAGTTAAAATGCCACGTACTAATTAGTTAAAAGTAAAGCAGTTGTTATTTATCCTAGCCATTAGGCGTGTACTTCATTGAAGGTGTGAAGGTCCTTCTATCTTGGCTGAAGAGCCGAGAGGTCTAGCAAGTTGAAGGGGTAATGCCATATTTATAAAGGTTGATGTCTTCTTATATTGGCTCAGGGGCCTAGCATCAGTGAAAGGTCGAGGTAATTTCATACTCATTAAATTTTTATCTGAGGCCTAGCATTGTTGAAAGGTCAAGGTCATCTTTATAAGTAGTCGATGACCTCTCATCCTAGATAAATGGTTAGATGAGGCCTAGATTTATATAAGTCTGGATTCATCTCTGTAAGTGGACCAGATCCTCTCGTCCTAACTGAAGGGCTAGATGAGGCATGACTTTGTAGAAAGTACAAGTCATTTATATAAATTGTTTGTGTTTGATTTTTGGCCAGACCCATTTAAATAATCTTATGTAATATTTTATGATGATTCAACTATCTCTTCTGCAAATATTTAGTTGTCATATGGTTATCCTTCTTCGTTGAAGCATGCCTAAACAATAAGAAGCATTTGTTAGGGTCAATTATCTTGTATGTTGATTACCAAGTTATTTCACGAGGAAATTATGATTTAATTAGTATTTAATTATTTTTAGACTTAAATAGATTGTTAATCCCTATAAGTTAGCGAGTTTTTGAGTTTGGTCACTGTAATTTATTTATTTTAGGTTTGAATCCCGATATTGTACTTTTTGCGTTTGGTTTAGTCTCTAAAGGTAAAATCTACCTAGGAAAATCCGCAGGTTTCCTGCAGATTTTTCTGCAGATTTTACCTTTTTGCGAAAAGTGAAATATAGAAACTCAGACTAATGGTTGACACTTGTCTTTTAGATTTTACCCAATAACTTACACTCGTCTTTTAAATTTGTGGCATTTTATTTAACTTTTCATTTCTAACGTGACTTTTCCCACCTTTTACTATTTTAATGGTTGACTTCACATTTTAATGTTGAACTTATTAATAATTTTAGTTATTAATTTATATTAATAATTTCAGTTTAAGAATTTTTAATAATTTATTAATAATAATTTCAATTTATTATTAATTAACTAACAGTAATTCATATAATATAACATTAATAATTACTGTTAGCGTTGATAGTATATAATGTTAATTATTCAAATAATATAACATTAATAATTATAATATTAATATTTTATTAATAATTAACGTTAACTAATAATATATAATTTTGATGCAAATTCTTAAACAAAAGAATTGCGCAGCCTAGTGGTATCTTACAATTCTTAAACAAAAAGGATCATATTTTTGAATTTTGACATTTAACACCAAAACAATAATAATAATAAAAACAATGGAATCTTAAAATGTTAAGGTAAAAATTTAAATTATTTTTTTATGAGATTTTTTTCAAAACTCTTCCATATGACAGGGACAAATTAGTTATTAACCTTATAATTTATAGGTTAAATTACCGTTCCCCTATTTTGTCCAACTCACAAAATTAGTCTCCTTTTTATTTTTTTAAATAGTTTTGGTCCCTCATGCCCATTTTTCATTAAAAAAATGTTGATTTGTACTATTTTTTTAAATATGTGGCATAGTTTTCCTGAATTAGCATAATAAATGTTAATGATTCATTATCCATGTCATTTTAATAATTTGTTTATTTATTAAATAAATTAAAACTTATTAAAATTATGTTTATCAAAGAAGCTGAGATAGAGAACGAAGAACATGAAGGTCAAAGACCACTAAGAAGCTGGGAGAGAACACAAAGAAGGGGATTGAAGAAGACGTTTGAAAGGGAAAAATGTAGAGGAAGAAAAACTTGCACTTCAATATGAATGATAACAAAAGAATAGTTATCAGGTGTGACATAGATTGTCCATTTCACATGAGATTTAATAAAATGGTAGGTAACCAGTTATGGCGGTTGGTAAGCGTGACAAATGATCACATATATCATAAGACTCCTAAGAATATGCAAGCTAAAATTGAGTGGCTATATTAGAGGTTTACATATATATGCTAAGACATACATCTGAAATGAGGCCAAAGGGATCGATTTCACATG